TTTGTCGCACGCCTAATAGATTTTCATAATTGCAAAGTTCATTGCGTAAAATGTCAAATGTGCAGCGCGTCGCTTGTTAGCCAACTAGTTGGCCACATTTTTTGTTTTCGGGCCTGTAATTTCGCACGACACGCATAAAATGTGTAGCTGCAACTTGTTCTCAACTGCTTGACGAATTTTTTTTCTTGTTTCTGTACTTATTTATTTAATTTTTTTCGTTTTTTGTTTTTTTGTTTTGTTTTTTATGTTCAACAATAATTTAAAATTGCCCAACACAGAGCAGCGACACAAAAAGTGCAAGTCAAGTTTGTTGCCACTTACGTAAAGATTATCATTATTATGCATCATTTGCTTTTTATGCGGCATTAATGTCAAATTGTCATGTTATAGTTTAAAATACAAAGTTCTTGCGTACACTCATAGCTCGTCTGTCCGGCTGACTGGCTACTTAAATTTGAACAACCTGCCACAACATGCTTGAGGGTCGAGCCGTTCCCCGTTTAATGGCTGCAAAAGTAATGCTACAACTGTTACATATAAGTACTATATAGCTATGTATGTATATCCATAATGCCGCCTCTATTGACCCACTCTCTATAAATGTACACAAGTGCAGGCCCCAAAGTCCAGAAAAAAAGGCTTGGGAAACTTGTGATTCAGTATAAATGCAAATATTTACAAACAACTATCTAATGGGCTTTGAGAGAATCTCTAATATATCATTTATACTTATGCATGAGTATATTTTCTACGTGAATAAGCGACGTAATAATATTCCTATTAATTATTATGTCTGTCGACATATGTCGGTTAAAATATACAATAGGTTTTCTCTTTAGCTTTAAGGATAAGGAAGCCTAAGAATAATCTAACAAAGCCCTAAATGTGCTCGGAGTCAGTAATGGACCTCACCAAACTGGAAAAGCAATAACGAAAGAGAATAAAAATATTAATAATTAATAGCTAATTAGAAAAGAGATTTTCCCATAACTGTTTAATCCCCACTTAATAAAGAAAGTGTTCTGTCGAAAGTATGAGACAAATGCTTTTAATCTGAATTCAAACGGCTGCACTTGAATTTAATTCTATATATTGTTTCTTTTAATAATTAATAGCTAATTAGAAAATAGATTTTCCCAAAGCTGTTTGTCCCCATTCATCACCACGATAGTATTAGAAAAATACATTTAATCTGAATTCCAACGGCTGCACTTCAATTCAATTCCATCTGTTTTTCCGTTTATCAATCTGTAGATATCTATCTCTATCTTTCCATATACGTATGCCATTTAATTATTTCGTGCAACGTTTTCCCTTCTATATAAGTATTCACAAGTTATATTTCATTATTCGACCTTTAACATGGAATAGTTAGTGGAATGGAAGTGCATTCGTAGTATTCTCGGATCTGTAGTCACTCTGATTTCCTATTGAAACATTCTCACTGAAAATGCTTCGCTATTGCTCGGGGTCACTAATTTCAGCCTTTGTGCTCGTTTATTGCCACCATTCAAGAACTCGATTGGCATGATAAATTTAATTGAAACAGGCGTTGCTGATAAGCTGACCAGCTTGGTCGATGGGATTTGGCTGCAATTTGAAAACAGTTCTGTTCTACAGCATTCAACAAGTGTTTATTTTATTATTGTTATTATGATTGTTGTTGTAGTCGTAGTTTAATTCAGTACCAAACTAATCCGCTTGTTGGCTGTCTGTGTAAAGTTAAGTTGCTTACAAGCCAAGTTTTTTCGTTTGTTCAAAGTTTAACAATTATGCGCAGCTTATGCGATTTTGAGCTGTGCATTTGTTATGGGCGTTAGCCTCATTTAGACGGGGCGTGTTAAGAGCAAATAAAAAATGTTTAAATATGCCATTGAAGGTTGTTGAGATAAACACAAAAAGTAAATTGAAAATAAAACGACACATGGGCTTGGTGATATACCTGCGTTTTGTTGAGGCTGGTCTTAAAAATGGCAATAAATAGATAAATGTGAGTCGTTAATACTTAAATACAAGAACTAAAAATGAACATATTTGAAAGACTGCAAAATCGAAAGGCACCATTAGAGTCTTTGTAACATTGTTGCTATTTATATACTAGTATATAAAAATGTTTTTTTTTTTTTTTTAAATTATACGTTTTAAAATTGAGACAACACTTGCATTGGCTTGCCTCAAACTATATTTTTGAAATTGACCGCATTGCGGCATGAATATATCAAGGCTGCTGACTGAGGCATGAACTTAACGACATCACTTAGCCGTAATCTTTATTGCGACTGTAACTTATAGTGTGCTACGAAAATAAGAATACATAAAACATTACTGCCGGATCTATAAAAGAAACAAAAATTGGCACACAAGAGCAATGCATATATGTCTAGATAATAGACTTATACTATCTATTATATCCAACATAAAGTTCAAGCAAATTGCCTCTTCGCACAACAGCAATAATGCCAAATCGTTGAATCTTCTTGCCTTCGAAGGCTCTTGTGTAAAGCGGTTTTGAGTACTATATATCATCAATCCCAAAAAAAAAACTGCTAACCATTCGATAAAACAAAGCACATGCACACATTTGACAAATTTACATAATGGCTGGCAAAGTGCAAAAGAAAACCAAATACGTATACACATAAAATAAGAGAAAATGTCCAGCAAAGGCCCAAACGGAGGCATTGTTTTATTGCCAATTTGATCAATTTTCAGTTGCCCAAACTTTTATTTGCATAATCAATTTTAACGCTGCACGGCCAAATAGCAAAACAACATTTATAAAAGCAGCTGCATTAGGTGCCAAAAAAATAAAAACTCGAAACTAAACTAAAAATTACAAAAAAATAATAAATAAACACCGAAATATATGTGTGCATGTATGTAGATAGGTGTGCGAGTGTGCGAGCTGCCCAAAGGCAGCAAGAAGAGCATTTATTACAACATTTATGATTATTATGCGCATAAAATGTGTTAAAACGGTCAATAAACTTATTGACCGACATAGGCACTAACATGGCCAGCAACGCCCCCTCGCTGGTTTGCCTTCAACTCGGCCAGTTTCTGCTCCACTTTCATGAGATTTACTTTCGCTTTTTATAGTGTGAATGCACACTAACACACGTACATTCAAATGAGTCTTTATGCCTATACGGTCACTCATCGTGCATATCAACGCACAAAGCATTGTTATTGTGCAGAGCAGCGTTGAGTTGGACTAAAGTTTATCTTGATTTAGCCATCAACAGCTGCAGCTCAGCGCAGGCAGAGACGCTGCCGCTGAAGCTGAAGTAGACGCTAACGCTGGCGCAGACCTAGACGATAATGGACAAGCGGCAACGCACCGTTTTAACAGAGGTTTCTCAACGACCTTGAGACCATTACCGGTTTCAATTTAAGTTAAGCGCGCGACCCGCTCCTCTCTTGCGTGAACGTCCGGGCTTTAAGCCCAAAAAAAAAAAATAAATAAAAATAAAATCATAATAAGAGCAGCGACTATCGCTGATGCGAGATGCGAACAATGCCAGCTTTGACTTTCGTTCATCAGCCATGGCAGCAAAAGCAACAACAACAACAGCGGGCCATACATTAATTTGCATCTGGCTTGGTTTCATTTTCGTTTGCATTAAGTTGTTTAAACATTTCAACAGCCAACGATGATCCACACATGAGTTATTAATAAAAGAGTGCTAATCAAAACCATAACCCATATACCCACACACACGCATACATCTATCTATATACATACATACCTACTTGTATGTATGTACATATGCGATCATATTTATTTATTTCTATTAATGTGCCGCATGTCGCAATGCGACGAAAGCGGCCACAATGTGTTGCTATTGTTGTTGTAGTTGTATTTCTTTTGTCTTTGGCTGCGCTGCATAAAACTTTCATTTAACGATATTAAACTGAAATTAAGCCCAACACCTCACGCCTCACGCCTCACGCCTATGTACGTTTGTGTGTTAGTCGCTGTTTGACCCATGTGGCCTGCCCATTGGCAAAGTTCGTTGCCTAAGTCTTTCGTTATAATCACACACGAAACATAAATTCGCTTCGTTTTTGATGCTGTTTTTTTCCAGAGAGTTTCATAACTTAAATCTGTTGCTTGTAATTCCTTAGAGAAGTGATTGAAACACATAAGGGAATGTCAAGATGTCAATGCAAAAAGAGCATACCTAGGAATTATAACAAAAAAAACCTATTGTCCATTTTATAAAACTAGCATAAAGTTGGTCAAAATATATTAGAAATTTTAAAGTCAAACAAAATAGGGTTCAAAGATTTTATTTTTTAAGATTTCCCTAGCATTTAAAAGCCATTTGGCAATTTTAGCTACCATTTCAAAAAAATGTTTTTAATTATTCTATCAATCAACAATCAGAAAATTGCAATATGCACTATATACTTCAGTTGTTATAGTCTAGCACACCTCAAGATCAGTTAAAACGAGGCCAATTATTTCAGAAATTAATTCATTGAATTTTTCAATTTAATCCACATTCGAACCAAAGAACTTTTAATCTCCACACCACCAGTCTGCAAATTGAATTTTTTAAAGTTGCTGAAATGCTTTCTGAGATATGGCCCTGAACCACTTTTGAGCCAGTCTCAAGTCCCAAACCGAGTTCAAAACAGGTTTTTGTATCATTTGTGTATCAAATTTGCGAGCCTTTTTGGTACCGCCAAAGTATCTAATTGCTTCGAAATAGTATTTATGAACGAAATGTGAATATTGTGGTTTGAATTATAAATGAAATTGTCAAGTCAAATTCAACAATTGGATCCAATTTTGTTGCCAACATCATTGGTTGATAGTATTCGGTTAGGGTATGTAGATGTCGGTGCGATTAATATTGGTTCAGTTTGTTTCATTTTCGCTCATTGCTTATTAGCTTTTTGTTAACTTTACGTGCGGCATTTGTTGTATTGGGGTTTTACCGAACATTAAAAAATTGCACACTCAAGTCCATTGGACTGCCCAATTTACTCACCCGAAAACGCTTCAGTTTTGCAGAGCACGCTGCTGAGGCTGCGCAAAATGGAAACAACAACAGACGATTGCCAAAGTTAATTGCAATGTGAACTTTTGGACAGACACGGGACACAACACAACACAGAAACACAAACAAAAACAAAAACAAAAGTAAAACCAAAAAACACGACACCGAAATAAGTTGCTGGCAATAATTTTGTGTAATATTTTGTTATACATATGCAAAATTGACTTTATTAATAATTTAAAAAGCACATTTCAAAATTGAAATAAACAACGCGACAACGATAACGACAACGACAACAAAGTCGCCCCAAAACGTCACTCGGTCTTGTGAAAGATTCACGCGTTACTGACACAGTCGCGAAAGCAGTGCCCAAGACTCTCCACGAATAATACAACGTATACAACGTAAAATGTAAAGAGATGTGTAAAAGTAAAAAGTATTAAAGAAAACAACAACAACAACAACAAAAACAAAACTTTACGACGCGACTGCAATGAGAGTAGAAAGTGACAGAAGTATGCGCTTCACTAACCAAAATAGTTGTACGGCAACACGGACGTCGTGGACGGCGACGTTGACGACGAAAATGCGCGTGGAAAGCGAATGAAACGAACGAAATGAATGAAACGAAACGAAACGAAAAGCGAAATTAAAGCACACGCAATGTGTAGAAGCCAATGAAAACAAATTTTAAGTCGCTGCAAATGCTAAGCTACAAGGTTGGCTCGAATCCGTACGAGTATCGGCTGTGCGGAAGTCGGAATGCGCTACATTGAGAACAAAGGCAATGCCAGTACCAAGCAATTAGTTCCCTATTTAAGTTTACTGCAATGTGTGAAGCCATAGACTTAAAATAAGAAGTCCACTCAATTAAATAACTTATGGATAACTTTCAAACTTATTTTGCCTTTTCAGCCCAACATTTGTTTGTCCGGCGAATAAACAAAAGGTATATATTTTAAACGAAAGTGAAAGGGCTTGCTAGAAACTCAAATGTATGTACAGTGAAAACTCTCTTGGCCGGACACTCACTTTCGGCCAAATTTTGTCCGCCCAAGGGGAGTGTCCGCTTAAGGGGAAATAAATAAATACTTCATACACCAATCGAATGTCGAAAAGAGTGTTCGGTTAAAAGAGGTGTCCATTAAGGGAGTTTTTACTGTAATAGGCAGAAGGAGGTGTAGCACACCCTACGATCAGCATGACGAGCCCGTCCGCTAATCTCTTCGTAATAGATATAAACTTCAAACTTGCTATGTAAACTTTTCCTCTCTATGCGCAGAACAACTTTTTTAGCAAGGCAAAAAAACAGTATTAGTTTAAAATTGTATTATTTTTTACGTTACAAAAACTGTTTAATATAAGTCCTGCACAGTATCTAATAATATTCTGAGTTTCGTCAAAATCTGTTCTCTTATCATTGAGCAACGATCGAGGAAACGAGTCCGACTAGCCTAACACTAACGTTTTATAGGGTTCCTATGTGTGGGTTGATTATTTTAAAAGCCCAGCAAGACCCAAAAATCGCATATACTTGTAGCTACTTATATAAATGGGGTGCTAAACAGCAGAGCTGAAAGTAAAAGTGAGGAAATTAGCAACTCGACAAGGTGTAGAAAAAAAAACCAAACAATATGACAATATAAGAATATATTGACGCCTACGTAATTCGTGTACACTCGTAGTACCCGCTAAAAATACAAGTTTATTGTAATGCGGCACTCAAATAAGTTTTCTATTCCAAGGGAAAAAGTGCGATCATTTTGAAAGCTTACACCAAATCGTCTCGGTTACAAATGAAGTTTTAAAGTAGCTCATACGTGCTTAGTTTTGTTTCCTGAAAGCCTCAATCTGTAGGTTTATATTTTACATTAGATCAGAAACTTAAACGTTGAAGAAAAATTTAAGTTTAAATAGAAATTTGCCTCATCATTAAAAATAATTGAAAATAAAAATTTTTTAACTGCAAAAATATATTTTAAAATTGGAATTGAAATTCATTTCTGTTTGCTGCTAAAATAGTTTTTCTTATTCATATACTTGTTGGTAATATTTAGTTTTTTATTAACATTTTCATTAGCACGTAAGATAATTGTTGTGAAATACAAGTAAAATGTATAAAAGTGTTGAAGTGCAACATTCAAAAGAGCTTCAAGAAGAATAGCGGATTCAAGTGCGACTCTCCGATTTAGGCAAGTACTTTAAATACCTCAAGTCCTAGTCCTTAAAAACATTAAAGAAAAGCGAAAGGCTTCTGGTCCAGCACGGCTCAACACAATTATGTTCGAAGTATTACAGAAAAGCATCGCAATGCTATAAATACATATGCCCATCCGGATCTACACACTCAACTAACGTGAACTCTAACCCGAACATTAGCTTAATGTTTAGTTAAGTCATTCATAGATGAGTGCAAATATGTGTATATATATACATATATACAAATATATATAAATGAGTGGGCCACTATATACACACACTTCATGTTCAAGTGACCTGAGATTGTGATTTTTTGCTGCCGCCTTCAGCTGACTGCTTCCGTTCCACGGCCCATTGCATTTGAATTGTTGGCATTACACATTCAAATACAAGTATCTATGTACTGAACGAGTCTATACTTGTAGGTATGTATGTATGTACGTACGGCATAAGTAGTTAAGTATTTGCGCATTCGCTTTTACCTCACTTCCACTTTATTTGAGCACTTTCGCCAGTTTGTTGCTCACTTGAGCGCAACTCTTTTTGGCTCGTTTTGGAGCGCTTTTACGGCCAAATTAATACGAATAAAGGGGGCTACGAGTTACTCCAGTGTGGCAACGAGAATGATCCTTTGGCCAACTGGGGCGCTTGCATCATCGTCAGGCAGGCAGTGCTAGCTTCATGGCTTACGCACACCGCTCCCATTACAACATGAAAAACATTGCTTTACGCTTTCTTAACTGGCTAAGTGTGCGGCAAGCCGCCAGTGGCCAGTGGCGGAGTGGCAGCTAGTTTGTGTCTTAAGTCTTTTGTTTTTGTTTGGACTCCAAGCGCCTCAATTTGATGTGCGCATTGGACTTTGCATAATCCAGCACTCGACCATCGACAAATTACAGCACAACATTTACAACAGCAACAATATTTTAATTTGCTTACTTGCTAGTGAAAAAAAAATGCATTTAGCAATAGGAAAAAAAATATAGGATTAAGACACAGAGAATAGGAAAGACGTCGGTCAGCACGGCTACTCGAACGTCCACGATCTGTGTGCCGGTTTCATGTGATGGCTGGCCGCGCTGCTGCTCGAAAAGAGGCCGGATGAGGCATGTGAGGCACCTCCCGAGGCACCCAGCGATGCATTGAGCAACAGCCCTAAGGCGCTGCTCACCAAATGTGACACGATTTGTTTGACAAAACTGCCCGAATCCGAGCCGCCACCACCTAATCCAGTGGCTTCTTTCTTTTTCTGCCGCGCCGGCAACTCAGCGCTTCCATGACGCTCCGCCGAGTTCTCCGCGGATGGAGGACGATTTTTCGCTTCGAGAAAACTGCTCAACAGATTTTGCGCAAATACCAGTGGCTGTATGGGGCCCTCTTCCTCAGGATCCTGGAGAAAAAACCACATCATTACCACATTGTCTTATCTTCAAGCGCAAAAGCAAAGGTGCCAAGGAAATTTAAAAGTGTAAAAATCGTGCGAGGTTAGTAGCGCAGGAAGAAAGAACACAACACAAAGCTAAGTGGAGACAATTAAATAAAAATCAAATCAATAACTACTGCGCTCAATGATGCCACAATCGTGCCCAGAAAGTTGCCCAGAAACTGTCCATTGTTGATCTGCCAATGAAAAGGAAAAATTTAAAAATTTACTTAATACCAGCCACTAAAGCCAGTCCATGCTTCTTTTTACCGCACCACCGCCGCCAGATAGACCATCCAGAGCCGTGCTAACATATTGACCCAACACAGTGCCAAAATTTTGATTTCCCGACAGCAGGCCCGCTAACAGCGACGTCGCTGTGCTGATGAGAGACTCAATGTCCAGGCCACCGGGCTAAACGACAGATTTTAAACTTAAATATAGTTCTTTAGAAATGTTTCCTATACGCATTGGCTTACTCACGCCAAAGAGCGTCGATATGACACCCGTCAGTGCGCCAATCAAAGCGCCCACATCTGAGCCGCCCTCGCCCTAAGAGAGAACAATCGTCACACATCAATGGGAAAACAGTGATACTAATAGTAGTCTTAGGCTAGCATTTATTATAATTTTAAATTCAGAACGTTTTATGTTCATTTTAAAACATCACTGCGTCTCCATAATACTACAAGTATATTTGCTCTAAAGAGATAAGAGATGGCTAACTTGTGGAAACTAATAAAAAAAAATATAAAAGAGCCTGCGCAGAAAATCAGGAATTAAATGAATTTATCCAGTTCAACTAAAGTTAACAGTGGTTGGGAGTCGTCGCTGCCAACGAAATGAATTGGAAATGAATACCTTTTCAGCAATACTTATATTTAAGCAGCAGTATGTTCGAAACAGCAAATTTTTAACAGCATCAATACTCTCTTTAACATATTTCAGACTCAATTCGTAGATCTCTCAAATTTCATATTCAATTCATAACAAGATGTATTGAACAATAAATTAGAAAGATTAGAAATTAAACAAATTTTGTCGATGGCTTCTTTTTTTAAAAAGGGAGGAAGAACAACCCTTTATACTTATTTCTTGGTATTTAATGAAACCAAATTCCTGAAGAACTCAACAAATTACTCGAAACTGTAAGCGAAGCTCAAAGTATTCCTAATATAAGCAGTAATGGTTTGCCATCTTAGACATTTAGTTTAACAAGCTCTCTAAATATCACCAATTTATAATTTTTGAATGCTCTTAAATTACGGTCAGACATGCAGATAGTTTCCAAGTAGCGTTTGAAGTATACTCGAAAAATTGAGGCAGATAAGTGTAATTTTGTATAAAGTAATGATCGAGTTTTTGGTGCAAATTATTTGCCTGTCTGACCATAGCCGTTGACTTAATATCGGGCCTACTTACTCCGCTTAGGCTGCCAATAATTCCGACCAGTCCGCCGCCACCTCCTCCGCCTCCGCCATCGTTATCAATATCCGTTGGCGTGAGCTCCGCTGATTCATCCTCCTGCTTGCCTTGCTTGGTGGCATTACTCGTGACTGTAACATTGCCTGCCTGACTTCAAAGGTGCATTATTTACACTCCACTCCAGATGGCAGGTTAGTCACGCTACACAACTAGACAACAACTAACCCATTGAGCCATACTCACATTAAAATCCAACGCAAACTCATCCAACTCGTTCTCATTCTCGTTATCGTTATCGTCCTCTTCCAGAGCGCTCTTTGTTGCCTTCTTGGAGTTCACTTGCCGTTCCGGGCGCCTCTCGTACTGCTCCAGCACCAAGTTCTCTCTAAAATCATGCTGAACGCGCAGGTCGTTGGCCTGGGATTAGGACACAATGCAGTCGAGGATTTTGCTCAAACCAATACACACTCACCTCCGACAATATGGACTTAATCATACGTACTTCGGCGGGTCGCGCCTCCTCAGTCTTGGCGAAGTCTTCTTCCCCGTTCTCAAGATCCTTGAGCTCAGTCTTTGCATCGCGTTTCCGCAACACCTTGTGACTTGCCTTGGCCAGCAATCCATCCGTCGCTGCCTCTTCAATTAAATGCTCCAAGGTTTTCTCGATTTTCGACTCCAGCTGCGTTTTCATGGTTGGTACTTTCTCCATAATGTGCCTACGCAGCTTAGCCAAGCGCTCCCCCAGGTGGGGGGCCTGTGTGATATCGGCTGAGAGCTGTTGGGCCTGCAACTCTTCGACCCGTTGCTGCTGCAGTGCCTCACGCATCTCCTCGCGAAAGGTGCGCTCGTCCTTGGCACTGCTCACTAGGTCCATGGCACTTTCGAGTATTTGCAGAGCGCGTTGGTCACGAACCAGTTGCTGCTCGATCTCATCGATCTTCGGCAGCACCTGGACACTATTTGAACTGCCTGCAGTCTGCTCGAGCAATTCTTTGATCACATTCACCAAATGCTGTTCCATTTGCTGCTCAGCTTGACGGGCGCCGTTCAGAAGGCCGATGGTGGTCAGAGCTCGGAGCTCCTCGCGTGGCACACTGCGTTCCAGCCGGCGATAGGCGGCCATAGCCCGCATATATTGTGGATTCAATTGGGTGCTTAGCTGCATATAACCCTGTCGCAAGCTAGGCGCACTCTCTGTTCCGGGCCAATGCAGTAAGGAGTTTAGGAGGAGGAGCAACATACTTATACTGAGCACCTGCATGTCGTCTTATTGCTCCAGTTACACTAAAACGTCGCCCAGGCGTGTGTTGCTTTTTTATATCCACACAAATCAATTGATGCGATACATCGATCGTTTCATCAATCAATTCTCTTGGGTTGGACAGTTGTCGTTGTTTTCCGCTTAGTCGCGCATGGGCGTGTCCTTCGCTTCACTGCGCCTCCGCGCCATTATGTAACTCAACTGGCTATGCTTCGATGTCTTCATTTTAGTCGCACACAAATCCATATGCAATGCGCTTCCTTCCAACTCCCCGGCTACCCCCTCTGTAATAGCTATACTCTTCTGAAAATTTCCTCAATCGTTTAAGGTATTGTAATGTCGGGGCACACTCGTCTTGAAACCATTTATGCCAAACCTGACTACCCCCTTGGTTCATTCCAGCCCAGAACAGTCGCACGTTTTTCTCATTAACTCATAGGCTTAAAGCCAATGCACCCATTTAGGCGATTCGGTATAAGTCAGGTATAAAGTACAGCCGACGCTTTCATTATACGAGTACAGCAATTAAACTCTTCAACTTACTTCGTGCTATCAAAAAAAAAAAAAAACTTTAAACCAATTCCAACGCAACAGCCACTCATTAGCCATTTCTAGTGAAAATGCCGGCAGCCTTTGAGTGATGGCCATCATTTCCTTTTGCCACTTTAAAGGCTTTTCGTCCGAAGTGCTTAGAAGATTATATTACATTGATGATAATACCGAAGGCGGCTCGCAATAAACGAACCAACTACAATGCAGCGATTAATAAAATAAAAACCACATTAACTTTACGAAATGTAAGCACCATGACGGCGTTGCCATTTTTCCTCAAAGAACACCATAAATGTGAAAATAATTTCTTAAGAAATGGCCGGAAATCTGACTTTAAGATTACGCTTCATTTTATTCTATCAAGAGGTAACAAGTATTAGCACAAAAAAAATCTCACAAGGATAAAAGGATAAAAGCTGGAAAGGAAAAGATTATACCCAAGTGATTGGTCTCTGGCTGGCTTTCAGGATCGAGAAACCTTCATTCAAAAAATACAATTTGTATTACAAATTCTACACTTTACTGTTATGTATTAAGTTTTAATTATCTATCAGTAGATTTTCTTGGAATATTAGGTTAACGTCATGATTGGAAGATAATTATCCAACTTGGTTTATTTAGAAAAACGTCTGCAGAGATTCCTTCAACGACCTAAGCTGTTTTTAGTGATATTTTGGGAGCATTGTGGATTGGATTGTGTTCTTTTCCATCATAGCTTCTATAGAAGAATCCACAAACCCAGTATATAATGGGGTAACGAATCCTATTAGAACACGAACCCTCATCTCATCTCTCTATGTGTATTTACAAGTAATTTTTGAAACAGATTGAAAATACTTTTATTTCATTTGCATTTGCAGCCCACATTTTGTGAATTGATTTATGATTTATAACCTACTTTGTTTAAAGAGTATTTGAAAGACACTTGAGCCCCTTTATGCGTCCGCAATCGGAAGAGCATATTTGCATGCCAGCTATGACGATCATCCATATGGTGTGGATGGCGATGCTGCTGATGATGATGATGACGATGGCGATGGCGATGACGATGACGATGATGAGCATCAGCGATTACGTGGCACTCCAGCGTAATACCCAGCTGCCGGCAAGCCCATCCAGACGGCAGCCAGCCGGATAGGCAGGCAGTTAGGCGAGCGTTACGCTCGTTTAGCCTTTCAAGTGCGCAGGTCGACTGAATTTTTATTTAAATGTGTAAAGAGAGATGCACTGTGATTGTTGTTGCTGTTGCTGTTGTTGTTGTTTTGGGAGTCTAAGCCACACCATGACATAAGCGCAATTCATTAATCTGTACAATTCCGAAAATGTTTGACTGTTGTTGTTGTTGTAGCGAGTCACTTGTACTTACGATGCATGTGTTCCGCGCATGTGGGGTTAAGTTGAATAAATAAATATACGAGTATGTATAAATTACAACACCAACAAAAAGCTACATGCGAGTACGGTGGCAACAACAACAACAACAACAACAAGCATGCCAATTAAAATGCTTGCCATTTGCCATTTGGACTCCCTACGTCAACCGCCGGCCGCGTCGCCCGCACGAACCCATCCACCAAGCCATGCCAAGCCAATCCAAACCAAACCGAACCAAGCCAAGAGCCAAGCCATGGCATGCCATGCCATAATTGCCGGCAGTTTTGTGTTTTTTACTCGCTCTTTGCTCATTGTTTCACTTTGTTGCTACTGTTGTTATATATAATTGTTATGGTTTTTGGTCAAAATGATATAATTTTGTTTGCCATTTCATGTCAGAGATGTGCACGCCAATGCCCTTTAATGCTCCGCTCAAGTGCCCTTGCTTGAGCAACAACAACAACAACAACAGCAGCAACACCATCAACAACGACACTAGCAACAACAACAACAACAATAGCGACAGCAGAAAAGCAAAGAGCAACGAGTGCGTTGACTGACTAACCACTCCCCAAACGCGAGGGGGACAGAGACACTCAAGAGCAACAGTCGAGTGCGCTACTGTGTGCTCCAAGTGGTCCCTCCAGGCATCACAGCGCACATTCCAAGGAAATGGACTTTTGTAGTGTTACTTCAAGTCCTCCGCACAAATGAAATTCACGTTGAGCTACATTTTTCGAGTTCTACGGCCATTTCTCTTACCTGTCATAAGTACTGGAGGGTATGCCAGGAGCTGTGCTCAAACAGGCAAATAGTTTGCACACAAACATGTCGATACACTTTAAAATTCTATGCAAAGGCACTGTTTTCTAATTTACTGAAACTATATGCATTTTTGTGCAAATAATTTGCCTGTGTGACCATGACATAACGATAAAGTGATTGGAAAAGTGATTTGTGCACTCAGAAAAAAAATGGCTCTTTAAGGAAAAGTTCAAACCGTTGGCTTTACTTTTAAGCAAGTTTCTTTCCTAAACAAGACTCTTTGCTTATTTATTGATTCCCAATTCTTGTCTTCGTAAACTATAATTTGTAGTCCAGAGTAGTCGACAATGCGCTTATCAAGGACTCACAATTCGTATTTAAAGGCCACAATGGCAGAAACCCATCAAGGCGAAAATAGAAAGATCCATTTGGTCCAAACTTAACAGTTGAGTACACATTCTTTCTAGATTTCAGCACAACTGTCATAACTTATGTGGGGGAATAACATATTTCTTGAAAATAGAAAACTCGTCTACATTTTATATTCATTCTAACATTTAGAAATGTTTGCTAACTCTATTTACACTTTTTATCGCCTAGTTCTTGATTCCATTCCCTATTTTACTAATTGTTTGGAAAATACTTTCTTTTTCTAAAATATGAAAGTATTTTTACAAAAACTGTTGTTGAAGAATTATAGGAAAATAATTTTCTTTCTCAAATTTGCGAAAAATTCAATAATAATTCAAGAAGAGACTTTTCTTAGAAAATTTGTAAGTCATATTTCCCTCATAATTAATGCCGATCTTTTTAAATCAGAGTGCAGAGGTGTACTTTATTTTGTCATCATTATTATACTCCCACTCGCTTCCTTTCTTCTACTTTCTTTTTCAGTGTAAAGCTTTTTCCCTTCATTTCCTACATGAACTTATCTATAAAAGCGGAAACGGATATTATGCATGTGGGGTTTCAGAAGCAATTTGAGGCAGCCATCAACTTTCAATTGTTGTCGTTGAAACTACAGAGACAAATAAATAAATGCATGTACTTAAATTTTGCTACAATATTTATTGAAAAGTTAAGCATAGTCTTTGGCATAAAACAAAAAAAATGTCTTCATCATAAATATAAAAAATCAAAAAACAAAAGATAACAATGGCTAAGCCCCTTGTGGCGTTCAGCTTAAGTAGGTGAAAGGAAAGGTAAGGGAAATACAACTGTGAAAAATGTAAGTCATCACAATAACAATTTTATATTAAGTTAAAAATCTAAACACAGTTGGCAGCAGACGACAAAGCTGACAGCTTAAGATAGCAAGAGTTGAAAGACAGAGTAATTGCATCGCAGACAATCAAATAAAGTGCGTATTTCCAAGACTTAAAATTGCAGTTTCATTTGAATTGAAAGCAAAATATTTGCTAAACAAGTATTTTTAAATGCCCAACTATCGAAAAACATGAATGCATGTAACTACTTATGCGAAGGGGTCTGGTGACTTAGTCATGGGTTTTGTCACATAAGTCATGAAGGCCCAATATTGGGGAATGTGGTTCTCTTAATTATTGCCTTTATATATGTTGTTACAGAAAACGACACTTAGCTATACTTAATTCGCATTGGTTTTAATTCATGTTCATGAAACATTTGCTAGATTTGACAGATTTGCGTACAAATTATTTGAGATTTGCGAGAATCGATTCGTTACTTGTTGTTTCGTTTACAATTGTTTCGTACACAATTCAGATGAATGCAGCTCTTTTGGCTTAATTTTTTGCTGAGTGTAGACAACAGAATTCACACACAGCTTCCTATTCGTTTTAATTGCCATTATGATCGTCGACCCTGCTGACTACTCCAATTACGCTTAGTTTTCATAGGCTTTTTATGTTGCTTACATAAGTCCATTGCTCATAAGAACTACGACAGAGTAGCGTGCGAAGCCCTTTTAGATATGCCGCCATCGCCATAGCTTGGCCATTTAACAAAGCGGAAGCGGAAATCGAGTTCTTCAACCGCTAATGAGCAATCAGCACTTGACATTGTAAATTCAAGAAATTTGTGAGAATAACAAGCGCAAATCTTATACAATAAAGTCAATTCATTTGTTTCCCCCCGTCAACAATTTGTGCAAGAAATTAGAGCCTTTTAGCGTGTATTTTTTAGCCTAGACAAATCTAAGAAATAAGTGCAAAAATATCAATTAAAAATAACTTGAAAAATTGCTAAAATATGTGCTTCAAATCGTATAAAATATACTATATATATATATTTATATTTTAACTCTGATAACGATCGTCGATCGGTAATCG